GTCCAGCTGCTTACCCTGAAGACAGGAGTTGCAGATGTGAAGCAGAAGTACTATGCCATCAGGTTGGGCAGCGATACTCTTAATCATAAAAAGACTGTACTTTCATTCTGGATAAATGCTTTAAAAAACCTTTTTAATGAGCCCAGTTCCGTGCATGTCTACTCATATGTAAGCCCAATAGATTCAATGGACCTCACTGCCAGGAAAGCTTGAGCAGGACTGTTGCCTTAAGGCCATAATTGTAACTCTCTATCAGAATTTGCTTTTATAAAAAACTATACCCAAAGTCAATTTATATACTACAGAATCATCTGTATTATTCTCTTACCTTACTATTGCCCTTAGTTCATTTAATACTTTTAAAGTACAAAACTATGCTTTGTTTGATTTTTAAAAAAATCCATGTAATTGCCATTTATACACCAAGTTTCAGCTTGAAGCTATTTAAACCAGCTGAGTTATAAACTCTGAAACCTGGGACTTAAAGGAAAATGCTGACAGACCCTTAACTACTGCAGCGCTACTGAACAGAATTAGTACTTCACGCTGAATTTTTGTGTGTGTATGTATTTTTCCCTTCCATTGTGATCTGAAAAGATTTTTGATAGTTGGAGTGTCATAGTGGTCAGCAAGACTGGATTTGCTAATAATTCTGACTACAATCCTTCAACCACTTACTTTGCTAAAGTCACAATGACTCCAGCAAGGCTTCTCTGAAGCAAGTGATTTGATGACTGGATGCAGTGCCTTTGTGAGCATATAATGCATGGTCCTAACAGAAACACTGAAACATTTATCAGTGGGGCATCTGCTGGGTTCCTAGTCCAGCCCCACTGTACAGAATATTTGTGGGAACTGGAGGGAAGGAGCTGGCCTAGACCTACATTCCTTCCTACATGAAGAGTATCAAACAATTATAATGCTGTGTTAATATTACATTTATCAAACAGTCCTTAATTATGAAGTAAAACTAATCACATCTCCCTCAGGAAAGTTGCTTTGAAACCAGTAGACCCTCCAAATAAAGACCGCAAGGGCATTACTCATCTTTCTCAGTAAATCCAATCCTTGCCAGCTTTTGCCTTCTAAAAACTATGAACATTAATATTCCACAGTGTTTGACCAAAGTGATATTTAAAGATTATAATCAAAAGCAGCACAGTTTATGGCATACTTCATCTATTACAATAGAGCACACGACAGATTTAAGGCACTACTTTAAACCCAGTTGCTACACATACAACACACTGCTATGGCCAATCTCCTTTCACAGTCTACATGCAGTTTCAGCTGGCAATTTTTTCAATTACAGCTTTACAAATAAACCCTTTCCTTTCACAGTCAACACTGATACTACATCATGCACTTTTGGTTTCTACAATTAAAACCATAATGTCTTGCAAAGTTTCTTCCAAGATCTTTCTATACATAACGTGCATTTTCAACTTGTAAAAAAAGTTTTTTTATCAACCCTTGCTAGTACAAGCAATAGCTGTACACCCCAAATATGCATCTGTAAATGAATTTTACCCATTTCAGAGGAATCCCTTTCCAGATAAGTCTACAGCCTCTTTCTCAGCGGTATCTACAGGAATTTTTTACCAGGTTTTTTTACCTTCACCCCAGTACAGCTTTTAATTGCATTACATTAATGTGGACAAGCTTGAACCTTTTAAACAAGATCTATATTTTAATGTTATCAGGAAAATTCACAAGTGGTATATTTGATGCCTGAGTAATCTGTATTTATACTGTATTGGTACACATAAGGAACATGGCATGATATCATCTTAGCAGTGTTAGTACTGAATAAAGCCATCCCATGTAAGCTGCTGTAACTATAAATGTGTACGCACATACACATACAGAGGCAGATATATGATTCATTACTAAAAAGACATCTATCAGTCTACTGCTGATACATAGCACCTCTGTGATACATTTTAAAATTTGGTTCAGAGGTCACCACCCTAAAACTTCAAAGCTGAGCAGGAAGAGGTAGATCAACTGCAACAAAGTACAATGTTTATTTTAGTGCACTACAATTCTAACATCGGTGTAATGTATCATTGTTCAAAATTCCAGTCAAAATGATTGAAAATATCACCCCTAACTGTCAGCAAGTCCTGTGATTCAAGTGTTGAGGGAGTGCTCCAAACCTAAAAACTGACATGGTTCTTGAGTATATTTGGCAGATTTACAAGGAGAAAAAAAGCACAGTCAAGTTTTCCAAATGACTATCTCAACTTGCTATCTGCAAGCTGAATCATGCAGAGCTAAGACAAAGAACGATAGTTATCAAAACTAAGGCACAGATCATCTCCCTTGCCCAGCTTTTCCAGGGATGACTGCATATTGCATAGCAGGCTGTCAGTGAGTTCAGATAACCAGATTCCACCGCTATGCACACCCCCCCCCCACACACAAAAAGAAAACCTCCAATAATTTGAATAACCATGCAATTGTGCATACAGGGAACCTAGGCTGCCTGAAGGGAACCAAAGCTTTGTCCTTCTAAACGTTGAACAAAGTACAGAACTCTACACTTCTAAAGTTGAGTCAACAACAGTGCAGTTAGAGCCTTCATCAAATTGAACTATGGATTTCAATAATCTGCAACCAAAAAGTAATTCCTTGTTTGGGGAAAAAAATACCTAGCAGCCTAAATTTACCTTGTCAAATTCCAAGACTCATGTTGCTGTTTCCCCATCAGCTTAGTTATGTCTTGTTTCCCATTTACAAAGCTGCATCCCTTTAGCAATATTTGGAGCTTATATTACACTCTCTACTGACTTCTGAATTCTTCAGTCTGGGTATGATTTCCAGCTTAAAATTAAGGGTGATTTTGGCCGTGTTTGTTACAGTAGAGGAAAGGCTGTGGCGGATACAATTCACACTCCATATATTTATATTTGTTTGTGAGGAGTTACACACGTGTGCACACACAGAGCAAATCTTCATGTGCAACACTTAGATTGGTTATAATTATTGTTATAATTGTCTTGCACTATCTCACTATAGAAGAAAATGGACAGAAATTTGCAGTGGAAGTTTTGAAATAAAGCTAAGTATGTAAAAACATGCATGAAAGAAAAGGAAGTAGGGAGGGGAAAGGCATTCAGCCTTTCTTAGTGACAGCATGTTAACTGAAAATTAATAACAACATTCCTGATAGTTAACAAGATGTGTGATCCTTCTTAACAACGCAGCCCTGTTTTCACTGGCAAAACAAGCATCTTCTGGGCAAACGTTTCCTAATTTGTCCAGCAGGAGTCCAGCACAACATCCCAAGGAATAAAATAAGTCTAACTTTAACCCTTCATTCTAACCCTTCCCCCTCCCATCCCTCCTTCATCTCAGCCCCAATTTAGAGCCCATCCTGTCACTAGTTTTAAAGGGGCTTGTTACTCATTGAATCAACAAATTCCCATATGTAATATATATATTACTTGACAGTTTGCAAACAGAACTTTAGATGTAACACCTTGGGCATTCACACTCAACTGCAAAAAGAAGCTTCCCACAATAGCCCTGGAAATGTTTACTGAATTCTTTCTTTAGATCAACAGCGTATCATCAATCATAACTCCAAAACTCAGTCACCCATTTTATAAACACAAAAATAAACTGAAGTGGGTAGGTAAAGGGAAGATGTCTAGTACTGAAAGCGGAAGACATTGGGGGGAGCTAAACCACCATTTTCTTTCATTCTGAAAAGGATAGCTTCAGTATCCCCCAAAACATGCTGCCTGATGTTTTGGAGGGTCTAATTTACCCTAATGTTCAATTCGATGCAGCTTGCTTCTGTGGTTAACCTAGTTATTAGCTGTGGGATTTAAAAGATTCTACTGGTTGGGGTCATTTTATTAAAGAAGGCATTTGCTGTATGGTCCTTGCAACCTGACTTGCTTCATTTGTCACTGGCGTATGGGGCTGCATGCAGTGAAAGCACTAGAAAAGCTAATTCTTCAGAATGGTCGTGAACTCTTACGGCTAATAATAGAGAACCAAGTTCTGTGAAGGTCTGAGGCTCTTAGTGGAGAACTGACAGAAGTATCAACAGGCATTCTGACAACAATGTGAGCACGACTGACCTCAATGAGATTTATTCATGAATGACTGACTTTGGGACAAAAGCTTTACTTCTAGCCTTCATCTGACCACCCACCTCATAAGATCCCTCAGAGGATTAAGAAGTAGACACAGAGGGCTACTCTTTGTAGGAGAAGTATGAGAACTCTATTACCTGTACAAATATGTAAGTATATATGGCTTTTGAAAGAGAGCTGGGGAGAGGCAAAGGAAGTGCAGCTAGTAGGAAGCAGTCCAATGAAAGTGACTGTGTTCGTAGTAGAGGATTAAGTAGTCACAAATATGTATTATGGTTGAGGTAAAGAAGGGCAGCAGTCCACAACAAGCACTATCTGGAGCAAATTGCGCTAGCCTCCTTAGGAGGAGAGCTTGGAAATGGAAGAGAGCTCATGTCTCATCATCAAGGTAAAAGGTACATTCGTGTTCCCCCGTGTTAACATCAACGATCCCTCACTCATAAGTGAGGCACAAGAACCAGAAAGGTTTTGTCCCGGGCAGAAACAGGAAATGGTGAAGGAGGTTTTTTTTCAAAGGCATAATCAGAGTGTGCGTGTGTGGGTCACCAACAGCGCTCCACCTTTACAGCCGCAGGAAAAGCTCTTGTCCGAGGGTCCCTGGGAGGCAGGCTGCGCTATTTTACGGCTGCCTCCGAGGGGTTCCCAGGGGTCACCAAAGGCCACGCATCTCTGCAATAAGCTGGGCCGGCTCCGCCAGGGCACCGAGCACCATTTCGGACGTGCCTCTGGGGAGCCCTGCGAGTGGTGGGCGCCAAAGGGCTGTCCGCCGCCAGGTGCCGGGTCGAGGCTGGCCGCCGTGACCCGCGCAGGCCAAAAGGCAGCGCGGGGGCAGCCCGGGCCAGGGCTGCTGGCGGGCGCGGGGTCGGCGCAGGCTTGCCCGGCTTGCCTTACCTTGAACGCCACCGGGAGGGTCTTGTTGCAGCGCCAGTGCGAGGGCAGCACGGAGCACAGGAAGTTGGGGCTGTCGGTGCGGACCAGCTCCGCCGGGTGGTCGGCGATGATCTCCACCATAGTGCGGTTATCGTGCGGGCGAAGCCGGGGCACCACGGCGGCGGCTGCCGCGACCGCCGCTGCCTCCTGGTGTTGCTGCTGCTGCTGCTGCTGCTGCTGTTGGGCTGCGGCTACCGCCGGGCTCACTTCGCTCATCTTCCCGGGCTGCAGGCTGCTGGAAGGGGGGCTGAACCTCCGGCTGGTGCTGGGATCTACGGGAATACGCATCACAACAGCCACAAGTTAGCGAGTTTGCAGAAGGTTACAGGGGGTGTCGCTCGAGGAGGCGTTTGAATTGGGACCAGAGAACTAAAAAAAGAAAAAGAAAAAGTGGGGGCGAGGGAGGATCGGGAGGATGCGGGGAAGATAAGGGGAGAAAACCAGGATCCGACTAAGTGCAGGAAGGGGTGAAAAAATCACAGTGAAAAAGATGCTGCTGTATGTGGGGCGAGCCTGCGGGGAGACACTTGAGCGGCCGCCTCCTCCTGCTCTTTGCAAAGCGCCGCTGCAAAGTCTCCCGGCTGCTGCACAGCTGCGAAGCGTGTCTCTTCCTTCCTCTTTGCCTCTTTGCTCACAGCCTCTGCTCACTCTTTCCCCCTCTCCCGTCTTTGCACCAAGGCTTCTTCGATTGCTACACGCTTGCTCCACGCACACACCCGCCTTTAGTTTCTTCTTTCCTTTGGTGGGGGGTGTTAGAAAGGGCTTGCAGGGCGAGGAGGAAACCTAGTTTCTGCCGCCGTTGCCTGCTTCATGCGAGATGTGTCGGCTGCGAATATGGAGCGGAGGACCTCAAAGGGAACGGCTCGTTTTCCTCCAGGGAGGTCCACCACCACCCCTCCCGCCAAAGTCTCTTGTTCGGATAAAATTAAGATGTCAATGAACTTTTCAGGTTTTCCGATTACTAGTTTGTAGCTACTGGTAAGAGCGGATATGGGGGGGGGGGGTTCTCTTGCAAAAGCGTCTTGGCGTTGCACAGACCTAGGTTGCCCTCTTCTTCCGCATGAGCAGCGAGTTCTCCGGGGTGGGGTTTAGGGAAATCAGAAGTAGTCAAAATAATAACAACGAAGTCAACAACGTTGGACGGCTGCAGAGGAAGGATCGAGCCTTTTCCACAGTTCGGACTTCTAATTCTCGGGGAAGTGCACCAAGCGGGAGGAAAAGTCAGGAGGGCGAGGACCGGGCCAGGGCAGATTTTCAGGCTGCTTTCTGAACTATGCTCAAGGGAAAAACTTGCTGCAGGAAGCAGCGGCGGTACACTCCTGCTCCCTTTAATTAAGTCGCTGCTGTCGCATAGAGTTGAATCGACTTTTTGTAAAAAAAACAAGAAAACAATCCCCCTTTCTTAATGACCAAAGTAAGGGGGGGAAACGTTAGAGTATATCACAATTTAAAAACAAACTGAGGAGGTGTGCTAGGAAAAGTTACGTCAGGAAAAGATTGAGGTAACATGAAGGGAAGGCTTGGGGAAAAAGTCCTAAAACGTGCGCGGGTGGGGCGGGGGTTGCAGGCTCGGATGTCTAATGATTAGGTTTCGTGGTTTATATATACAGTACTCTCTGGCTAAAGCGATCATTATGCTGATGAGAGGCAGCAGCACGTGGTGCCTCCGCCAGTCCTCGGCCTCCTGTCGTCTTCAAAACAAACGCGCGCGCCCTCCTTCCCTCTGCCCCGGGGCGGACGCCAGAGCCGAGCAGCGCCCGGGCAAGAACGCAGCCCGGGGAAAGGCACCACGCAAGTCCGCCTCGCTACCCTCGCGCGCACACAAAAGGCCGCTCGCAGGCAAACCATTTCCATACCCAATGGTAAAATAGGGTGAACGCCTCCCCGCGCAGATAACAACCTATCAAATCCTCGCCTCGATCCTCCCAATTTCCAAGGGTTGGGTTCGGCGTGGAGCTCCAGCCTGCCTCCCCGGGAAGCCGTGCCCGCGGCCGGTGCGCCCCTCCGGGCGGGAGGACGGGCGGTGGGGCAGGACGGCGCTGCCCCAAGCGCTGCCGCTCCGGGAGCGCTCGGGGGCTCCGGCGCCCGGCGGGCCGAGGGGCCGAGCCTGGCGCGCCGCCCTCCCGCCACGCGGCAGCCGAGCGCGCGTTGGGCACCCCGCGCCGAAGGAGCGGCCCGCCGAGCGCGCAAAGGCGGGACTCGTCGGCCGCGCACCCCCCGCCCGCCGGCCATGCAGGCCACTTTTTCGGGGGCGGGGAGGCGAGGGGCGCGGGGCAGTCCCGCGCGCTTCTGCGCCGCTCGCGTGTCCTCTGCCAGCCCAGCCTCGCTTCTTCCACGAGCAAGGCCCTCGCTTTTGAAGCGAGTCATCTCCAGATTTCTGTCGCAAAAGGGAGCGCTCGAAAGAACCCTGTTTTGAGCCTTGGTGTGCGTTTTGATTCTATCTGCCCTTTCTCTCGCTACGATCATGGTCTGTGGCAAGCCCAACACGTTGCACGCCCAGGGCACACGGGCATGCACAGCACTGCGCAGTGCCCCTGCCCGCTTTTTTGCTTTTGTGAACCTCGTTCCTAATTGCTCTAAGATCCGTTCTTCCCCGTCTTTCGGAAAGCGCATGGCTAAGATTTATATAGGAATGCCCCTCTGCTGGGGAAGTGACTATAGTAGTAAAACCACTATAGAAACCACCATTTCTTAAACTTTTTAATTGCCTTATGGCCGAGTTTGGTTTTCTTTCTTTCTTTCTTTCTTTCTTTCTTTCTTTCTTTCTTTCTTTCTATTTACTTACTTTGTTACAGTAATTGGGTTGTAGGCAACATCCAATGAAATCACATCCACAACTAACAATAGGCGGCCAAGATTTCTGAACAGGATATAGGCCTTTTTTCTTTTTAGAAAATTGCACTGAAATATAAACTTCCTCTGCTAACTAAAAAGAAAAAATTAGATGCTTCTAGAATCCACTGGAAAGTACCAGTGTAGAGCTACTTAAAATAGACTGCAGTGGAAATAAAATTTTCCACCAAATGCCTCCACAAAGTTATAGTCTTTTGGCAAAACTGATTTTCAACCACCTTAGAAAATCACTCTCTACTTAATGTGTTTCAGTTAGCCATAACCTACCGGATCCTGGAATAGGCTACATCTCAGGAACTAGTATGAGAAATATCTTTGATTAAAGTAGCTGTAGCAGATTTGATCCTCGGCTTTTTATTTTTTTTACTGGAAGCACGTTTCATTGATTCTAACAGGATTTATATCTATGTGAATAATGTTTAGGACCACAGCCATATTTATGAAGATGATTGAATTTGTATGGATTTGGCCAATATAGTATGTTACGGTTTACATTAGATGAGCCATACATTTGGCTGAATAGGTAGACAGGGTAAATAGTAGATTCTTTAACTTCTTTCAGCTTTCCTATCAAAAGTTAATCATTCTGAAGATGTAAAAGAACTCAGAGAGTCATAGTTACAATGGACGTATGCAATGGGAAATTAGTTATACTCCAGGCAAAGTTGAAGCACCTGCTAGTCTTATTAATTTCACCGAGGAAGAGAGGCAGATACAAAACCCTCCTGTGGAAGTCATTGCGATTCAGAGGAGCTTTCCTTGGCTAGGTTATATCTTGACTGGATAGCATTCACTTTACAAAATAAGAGTTATAATACCATTATTAATACAAGTTTAATTCCATTTTAAATAAACTAATAAATTTTAAAGAGATATTGTAGCTTTGTAGTATTTTTTTTCTTTAAACTTACATTCTTTGTTGAATCATTGTTAAAATGTATATGTAATCATAAAGCCTGTCAGAATGAATTGTTAAAAGTCATACTTAGAATGTTCCTTTAGTGGACGGTGTTTGAAGAGGTATATAAAAGGAAAACTCTTATTTCACCAAGAGGGAGGAAAAAAATCATTCCCTTTTTTGTCATTCACTAGAAACAGTACCACCGTTTATGCCAAATTCCACATATCACACATGTTTTGACCCATTTATTGGGCCAATGGGTGCTGAGGATATACTGTACATTTTGAATTTATTTGCCTCCTCACTAATATAAATAAAGCTCAATTGGGGAATACGTTTTCATTTTATGTGCATGTTTATTGTAACTGCTATTATATCAGTAATTTATTCTATGTCGTGGCCATAAAATAAATCATTGGTATAATTAAACATTATAATTAAATTTTCCTCATGCAACACATATGTGCCAATAATTTTTATTTCAATCAACATCAATTTACATTAGGGTAAGATAAGATAGTATATACTTAGGTTGTCTTTGCCTGGAAGGAGGTTCAGGAGCAAATCATCTATTTCTTTCAGAATGGCACAGCCACTGATGGGTCAAATGTTTAAAGAATCCAGGCAAAAAAATAGATGGATTTACAGAAAAGTGTGATCAGTGTTTAAGCCTGGAAGTTCGCTGGGTGACTGTGGACTCAGCACTACCCTCACTTATCTAGAAGGATGGTTGTGAGAAGAAACGCAGACAGACTCCTGTGCGCCGTGCCCTTCGCTCCCTGGCGCATGGATGGGATACCTGCAGCCACTGACAATCCCATCTTCTCGGAGCTATCCCATGATGCTCATACGCTGCCATTGAAATAATATCTGTAGGCGATGGCCTGCAGCAGGAGCGGGGAAGCACTGCACACACGAATAACCTACTCCATGAAGTAGAGCATTGGGCTTAGCACTGACATCGAGTTCTAGAGCTGTGCCACTGCCTATAATTAAAGCCCTAGGAATATGTACTAAGATTGTTAAACTGTGTGTCTCATACTGACCCTGAATCATCTGCACTATTATTATTTCTGTTACTGAAAGCCTCCTGCTGTTTTGTTCGGAAAATGTTACCATTTTTGACAACTGACATCATTGAGATTAACACAAAACACACAATAGGTCTTCTGCTGTATGTTTTTGCATACTTACAAACCAGACAGCCACTATTCCAAACGTATCCACAGCTATGTGCACAGTGAATAATTGAACACCCATCCCAATACAAGCCTTTAATTTACATCTCATTTGGTCTCAGCATTATTTCCAAAAAATAAATAATTTCTTCTGAAATGTCATAAGCATATTCATATGCTTTTCATTCTGAAAAGTTTCAAATAAACTGGAGGCAGCATTTATCCTAACATGGTTATTTATTTTCTGTATCCTAAGTGCATTTTCATAGCCTTTACAGGAGTCATGTGTACAAGCTGTTTCCCATAGTGTGGAATCCAGAGCTCCTACTTCTTTTTACTG